GGATGCTCAGAGCAGTGTGGATTTAATGATGTTGGTGTTGATAGGAGTTTGCTTAGCTCATTACATGGCATAAATTCAGAATGTGATTGTTCCATTTTAAAGCAGCAAAGGGCTAAATCAATACCTATTACTAACATAGTGAATGTGAATCACCCTCTTTCCCCATTGCCAAATTCAAGAGGCCACGAGAGTGAAGACAGCTTCATTATTCAAGGGGAATGTTTAAAATATGCTTCTGAACACAGAGGTTTAAAGGGTCACAAGAAAAAATCACGGAATGAGATTAAAATGGAGAGGTTGCAAGAGAAGAAACCAGCAAGAAATAGCTTAATGCAGCATAATGGAGAATCTTGTCAAGTTGGTTTAAGGGACACTGAATTCCAAGTAAGAGGATTTAGTAAAAATGGTTTGGCCTCAAGGGATGATGCTAGTCTTACGCGTTCGGAACAAAACTATGTGTATTTGGCAGCTAAAGATCAGCTGGGGTGTAGGTATTTACAGAGGATATTTGATGAAGGGACCTCAGATGATGTTCAGATAATATTCAATGGCATCATACATAATATCTTTGAGTTAATGAAGGATCCATTCGGGAACTATCTCGTGCAGAAATTATTGACTGTTTGTACTGATGAGCAGAGAATGCAGTTTGTGCTCGCGGTGACTGATAATCCAGGAGAGCTTGTGAAAACATCTAGGACTACGCACGGGTAAATGCAGTAGAATTTTGCTCTACCCTTTTTTGCAACTCTTCACATTGTTGATTCTTGAACTTCTTTTTTTAACCAAGCTGCAATCATTTCCTTGATTCAGGACCCGTGTTGTGCAAAAGTTAATTGAGACAATGAAGACCAGGCTGGAAATTTCGTTAGTTATAAGGGCACTTCAACCTGGTATTCTTAATCTCATGATGGATGTCAATGGAAATCATGTGGTTCAGCGTTGCTTGCATTGTTTAAGCAAAGATCATAACAAGGTCTGACATCATTTTCTTCTTGAAAATAACTGGAGTTGTTAGGTGGAAATACTGATAAACATAATATATTCATGTGCCTAAGTTACTTGTTCAGTATTAATACTTTGGCTTAAATTTAGACCACCTCTTTGTTGGCAAAATTTAAATGCATGATAATGTCATGAATACATAGTAAATATTACTTATCTGTGTTAATGTGGCTAGTCCTATGCATGATATATCAGCTAAAATTTCTCTTTATCTTTCAAATGATTCCTAAGAGCTGTATTATTGAATGTATTCTGACTTTGATGGCTCTAGAAGGTCATTCATCTGTTTTTCACTTCCTGAATTTTGGTTAGTTTGTCTGTGTTGAGGCAAGTAACTTTTAGTGTGTTCCAGTGTAAATGGTATAAGTTAAAAGGTTCACACTTAAACATGTAGTTGAAATACACATGTTGACAAATTCCACAACCAAACGCCAGTTGCATGTCAGCAACAGATGTTTGTTCATAAGATCCGTCTGTTTAAAAAATAAATTGTCTGCTCACAAAATCACTGAGTCCTTGAGGACATAATACTCACTGTGATACATTGGTAGTGTACTAGATATTCCGTTTCAATTGGTTCTGCTTCCATTATTCTAAGTATCTAATCTGACTAAGTTTTCCTATCCTGCACGGCTAGTATTTGGTTTTGAGTTTTTCCTCAGATATGATAAAGACATGTTGGCGCTGTGTGTGCTTGCAAAGTTTGTAAAGCAATAAACACTAAATTCACAAAGAAGGTGAAAGGAGTGGCAATCCTTTATCTGCCTGTTATGTGCTTTTCTTCATGTGTGTTGCTTGACAGATCGATAGTTTCAACACTCTGCGGATCTTCAGTTAAAATATGTAGCTCTTTACTTTCAGTTCAATTTGATTTCTTCTCACATGGGATGTACTATATCTGAAGCAGAACATGTGGGCCTTTATTGTTGTTGAACAATATTCATAGGAACAGAATATTTATATAGATGAGAAGTATCTTGGGGAGATCACCGTAGTTGTGCACTTATACCTATTTGTATTTTCATATCTGTAAAATATGAACTCAACAATTATTAGTTCAATTAGCTTTTAAAGTATTTTATTATTTATTCTGAAACTGGTCTGTTCAATGAATCACTATGCAGCTTATTTTTGATGTTGCGAGTAAACATTGTATTGATATTGCAACACATCGTTATGGATGCTGTGTGCTGAACAAATGCATCACTTATTCAACTGGGAAGCAACGTGAGAAGTTGCTTGTTGGGATTTGTTCTAATGGGCTTAAGCTTGCTCAAGATCCTTTTGGGTAAAATTCAGAACTTTTACTCTTGTCCTTTACTTTATTGATCTTTTAGTGCAGAAACTTCGTAAGATAATTTTAGAAGCAAATTCTGGTCTAGTATCAAGATGATGGCATGTAGTGTGCTGATAAAATTATTCACTTCTGCTGTTCTTAATGTGTCTGCTTGTTCAATGTTTTTGGAACATTGTAATATACCTGTTTACACTCAAATTATCTGTATATTGTTTAAGTGTAATCTTCTTCCAGAGTCATGTTACATGTTCCATATTACCACATTTAAAGCTAGCTTTGTCCTCTTGATAGATTACTAGCGATCAACTGCCAGGAGACCCAATGGAAGTGCGTGAGACTGTTTATAGGATATGCCTCAGCAGTTCACCCCTTATGGTTTTGTGTATACTATCAATATTTAGGAACATATGAAAAATATAACTGTCGTTCATTGCAAATATGATTCCAACAAACTCGGCAAATTAGTCCCGAGAAGATTAGTAGATTGTGGACTTCTTTTTAGTGGAACATCTGAACAACCTAAAATCCATATGGTCTTGTACACATTCCTTCTTATATTGCCAGGTACTCCAATTTCTGTTCCTTCATTACTAGAAATTGTTTGCTCAAGGAATGTGTGCTCTAAGATTGTTTCACTTTCCTAGTAGTGGAGTTTTTTTTCTTTTTCTTTTTTGTGTCCTGGTAGTGGAGTTCAATGGTGACAGTTCAGTCTCTGATTTCATCATCAAGTGCACCACAAACAAGCAGCTCTTCCATATCTTTTACTTGTCTTGTGTGATGTAAACGATGCCCATATTCCATTAATATTTGCCTTTTAACATTGCTAGTTACCTCAAGAAAGTTATATATACTGTCATTTTTATCATTTCCTTACAGCAGCATATGTGTGTTGCCTGCATAGTCATTTTTGTGGCGCCTTTTAGTTCTGCTTCTTTACATACTAAAATATGTTGAAAATTTCTAACTCACAATACAGGAATTATGTTGTTCAATTCATAATAGAGTTAAAGATAGCCTCTGCTGCAGCCATGTTGCTCTCTCAGTTTGATGGCCATTATGTATACCTCTCAAGGCAAAAGTTTGGCAGTCATGTTGTTGAAAAGTTCCTCAAGTGTGTTGAAGAAAGTAGGTCGAGAATCATCAATGAGTTAGTCTCAGAGCCTCATTTTGATCAGTTGCTGCAAGATCCTTTCGCTAACTATGTGATTCAGTCTGCACTTGGCGTTACTAAGGTTAGTCTATCAACTTGTTATATTTCTGTATACCTAGATGCTTTAAACTTGTTATGTTTCCATATAATTAGGTGCTTCAAGCTCTGATTTCCATATGTGATCATGTCTTTGGTTCAGCTCCAACCTATGTGCTGGCCATTTGTTGGTTGAGTAATACTTTATGCATGTATGGGTTCTGATAAAACTGACGATAAGATACATTTCTGATGAGCTAATGAGTCGGATTTTCTGAATGATATCTCTTTGAGCCCCACTCTCCTTTTCAGCTGAAAGGAAAAGTGAAAAAGAAAATGTGTTCTTTCTCTAATTCCTAAACAAAGATTATAATGCTCTCCTGTAGTAAGATGGACACTTGTGCTCAAGCTTGACTTGCATCCAACAAGAATATGTGTTAAGTATTAATTTTTTGATGTTCAGAAGAATGAAGTCAAAAACCTGTCATTTCATTTCCAATTGATGCTTTACGCGAAAATATATTGATGAGTAACATGTGTGTGCATTAGGTGGGTTTCTAGAGAGAGAGAGAGAGATAGAGAGAGAGAGAGAGGTAAACTTCTAAACAAAGTTCCTACTAGCACCAGGACATATGTTTTGGCAGAATTTCCGTTTCCTCGAGTCAATATCTGTTGTAGTCATCACTGTAGAAGCAATTTACTGCGTTGTTATACACTAAGTTTACATTGTGTCCAAGTTCTCAAATTTGTTATATCCGGTGGATGATTCTTGGACATATAAACTGGAACTTGCTTCCACTAGTAACTAGGAAGTGTTAATACCAAGTCTAATTATTTATTATGACCAATGTAGTTACGCTGGACTAGTACCATATGAGACATGACTTGGCAAACAAAACCAGATGATTGTTTCAGTATTTGCATATTCTTATTCCTTGTAACTTTTACTTTGAAGCAGGGATCCGTTCGAGCTTTGCTGCTTCAAGCTGTGAGGCCTCACATGCTTCTCCTGCGCACAAGTCCATACTGCAAGAAAATCTTCTCTCGGCGACTACTAAAAAAGTAATGCTCCAAGCCAGAGTAAAATGTTGTTGTTCTCTTCTCTATTTAGGTACTAGATGTGGAATGTATCTTATCTATGATCCTATTAAGGTGATCAGTACCAGCTTAGACTGTTGTATGTCATACAAATTTTGGTTGATGCGACTTTGCATGATGATGTTTGCCTTTTTGCTAAAACCTTCGAATGTGTAAGATTATAAAGGATGGCGACAATCTGTGACTTATCTAAATCAAGTTCCTATTTGTGTTCTGGTATTCACAGAAGATTTTAATCTGGTCAAAGTTACTTGATCATTCTGTATGACTTTCATGCTTATCTGGTGCACTTAAACTCTTTTAGTGAGATATATGTTTGCTTTACTTGGCAGTGATATCGATATGATGAACGCAAAATCAACGTGACAGATGCAAATAGTTGGAAATTGTGCTATCAATAAAATGGATGCAAGATGAAAAACGGATGCAAATTATAGAAAAACATTCTTAGATAGCATAAAGTTGTACATTCAAAGTTTATCACAAGAAGAAAAGGACTAAAAGCTCACGTTAAACAGACCACGCTTAATCATCAAGCATACAACGGATGCCAACTCTCAAATATAGGGGATAGCATGTTTATTCTGGTCATTATGAAACAGAAGCAAAACCTTCTTAGTCCTCCTCTTGTCCAAGCAGAGCCAACAACATACTCTCATAATCTCCTCTTGTATCTTTGGCGATGGCCCGACCCAGAGGGATGCTATCCCTCTTCTGGTACTCATCAGCGATAATCTTCATATCAACCTCAGCCCTTGTAGCGATAACTCTGGTCAGATGATCTTCATCTGTTCCTCTCCTGTTAATTGCATCTCGAAGAACCTCCACGAAGTAGTGCTCGGGGTAGACAAGACCTTTTATGGTTGCCCTCAATAGTCCAACAAACTCATCCCCCTCTTCCAATTGCTGCCCATTAGCAAAAAAAACTCAATAAATCAGTAAAGCAGAAATAACAAAGCCAGTCCTAGAGTATAAAGGGGCATCACTTAAAGAAAAGGAACAATGGATGGAATGTGTTTACCTTCAGGATATCTTCTTCATATTCATCTTTGTAATGGTTCAGAGTAGCATTGATCTGTGCTTTGCTCCTTGTGGCTAGAATTCTGATGACCTCATCGTCACTGTAAGCCTTATCGGAGATCTTCTCGTGCAGTATTTTAGCTTCTGCTTTAGCAAGGCGCAAGTCCACCTCGTCCCCTCCATATCGGTAGGAGCTCACAAGAGGTACCAAAAGCTGAAACAAATTGGAAACTTGAATGAGTAACTCAACAAATTCAATATTCAGTGTCACTATTCATCCAAGCAAGAGCCAAACTTAATGAACAACCTTAGACAGTACACTGCAAATGGTATCGCATAAATCATAGACAAAGACATCCTTGCCTTGACAATGTGTACAAGGTTAACTTTTCATTCATCAAACATATAGACTAGAAATGTTATACTTTGGCGATCTTCTCAGATACCATTCAAGCCTCGTGTAATTTGACAACAACTTAATGAATTATTGGTAAGGACTCTAAGTGTATATGGAACCACAAATGAGACTAGTTGCAATTAGAACGATTTAAACGTTAGTGATTAATCCAGTACCTTGCGGTGTTCCCCAGTAGTGTGATAAGCAACGTCCTCTTCAAGAGATTTCTTGAAACGAGCATGATAAGCTTCCCTTGCCAAAACCAATTCTTTAGGAGATCTGGTACAAGCAATCTCCACAAGAACAAAATTGCTTTTTGTCCATCTCTTAGTAGCTTCCTTAGCCAAATAGGCATCGCGTTCTGAAGGATCCAATGTCCACACTACCACCAATTTCTGAGAGAAAAACATAAATGTTAGCCTTTTTCATCAAAATCCAGCTATGATCGAGGATCTAGAATCAATGGACAAGACCCGCCTTTGATCACAGTAACTCAGAAACTCAACTGATCAACTAATAAGTATTCAAACAAATCTAAGGTTTTATCAAATTTGTTCATGTTATTATCTTAAGGGGGTGTTTAAAATAACCTCAAAATCATTGGTAAGTTCTCTGTCCAACTCTTTAAGGAGATCTTCACCAAAAGTCTCAGCATAAGTCTGTTGAATCAACTTGCGTTGAGCAGCATTTCTATGAGCCAAAATTGATATGATCAACTTCTCATTTGTTCCCCATCCTGCAAACAGTAACCATCAAAAGTCAATCTCACCGTATAACTTAAGATCAACCATCAATCTAATAATAATAGCAATATCTTTATAGTCAGAAAATAGTAAGCAGTATCTGAACTAGATGTATAGAATATACTAAAAGATAAAAGAATGAAGCAAATTAAAGAAGTGATCTGTGAATATGTATGGTCTATATATACATCAAATTGACCAATCTTACAAAGATCTAATGCTATAAGTTGATACAAATAGTGAAGAGAGGCCTAAAATTATTAAGATGAGAATAAAATACGCATAAAGAGATTAGTAATAGACCTTTGAAGGCAGATCGGAGTTGTTCACAGTCTTCAGCAACTGAAGGAACTTCTGCCGGAACAGTAAGACTAGCCATTTTTTTTCTGTCTGTGGAAGATATGATTGTCAAAACTCGTAAATGCTAGCTGACTAAAGTAAGGTTGTATAATTTTCCACCTTCCCTTCTTGCCTTTTTAAAGACAGCAAAAATTACCTTTGCATTACATTACAATATGGCCCTCCTTTTTGTTTTGTTTTTTCCGCGTTTAGCGGTGTCAATCAAAGAAATCAAAAAAGTTTCAATACTACGATATTTTAATTTTAATGGATCTTAAATATAAGATGCGAAAAAGAATTCAAGTATGATTTCTAGAATTTCAATCCTTTTCGTAGTAGCCGGGCCACAGCACATGCCACTACGTGCCATATGTACGTGTTTTAATGAATAAGCTGATATATTATACTACGATATTTTAATGGATCTTAAATACAAGATCCACATATTCTCACAAGTGGCCCCTATTTCCCATATCCCTTTCACCAAATGTCGAAAAAGTTGTCCAATTACTTCAATCTTCACCTTACAACTTGTCCTCTATTCATTTTCTTTCTCCTTTTGTTTTTCCTATTCTAAGGCCTAAGCCACTAAATAGATTTAGTTGAAATTTAAAAAATGAATTTTTAAGTTCCGTTCAAAAATAAATTTTGAAAATTGAAGTTGTTTTTGAACATGTATTTTATTTGAAGAAAACTTGAAATTTTATGATTGGAAAAAAAACTTTCTATCCAAAAACTGCCCTTAATCAAATTTTGGGAACTTGAAAACTTTTTTCAACAAAAAATTTTAAAAACGCATCATATTCCATGAACTAAAAATATTTTCAAATTTATTTTGAAAAAAGAAGCCAAAATTTATAACCCAACGAGAGCTTACATATGAATTATTTAAACTGCATACAGATGGTTTTCATGTGCTTGCTGCATCTGTAATGATTCGAAGTTTCTGCATCGGATGACCCCAAGGTACATAAATTATCGGGTTATTGATGTACTATAATATATGTTGTGCCAAAAGGAAAAAAGCCAATTAAACAAATATATATATATATATATATANTGGGGTTCATCATTGTAAGATATTGTAGGGATATGAGTCCAGGACTACATGATACTCTATCCATCTCAAATTATTTGTCATGTTTCTTTTTTATACGATCTAAGAAATATTAATTAGAAGAATTTTTTTACTAGTTTACCCTTATTCAAGAACAATTACTACTAAGGGTAAAATAAGAAAAAAAAATTAATTTTGTTTTGAACTCTATAATAATAAATAATTTGAACAATTATTTTTAAAAATCACGATAGATAATTCTCTACGAAGGAGTATGATAGAGAAATGGCATCTCCACACATTTTGTATATTGGGACTCCAAAAGTTACAACATCAATTGGTTTTTAGCCTTAAGACTAAAATCACATTTAAACATGTAATATTGGGGTCAGAAGTATTATAAATACGTGCTCAATTGAACTTATAATTTTTACCGTTGAGCATAAATTTATATGTAAGATCCATTTAAATTAAAATAAATAGTAGATATGAACTAATAACTTTAAAAACAGAATGAGTTTAATGTCAAGAATCTTAAAAGTTGAACTCATATGGTTTAAATCCTGGATCCATCCATGTTGGGATTACAAAAGTTAGACAAAAAGAAACGAAAAATAAAAAAGGAAAAATCTTTCTATTGGTAAATCTGCTCTTGGCCATAGAAAATGAAGCAACCTTCTAAAGAGATATAACGTATGGCCAGTTGAAGCAATCCTCTTAAATAATATGGAGTATAACGTATAGCCAAATGAAGCAACCCTCTTAATTATGAATAATTCGTTTACTCAAATCTGTTATAGATCACATATTATACCGCAACTCATTAATTCAATAGATACATCTGTTTACAAAAGGGTACTCAAAAAACACATTTATACGGATGATTCAAAAATGCTAATGCTAAAATCTGTTGTAATTAAGTTGCATAACCCAAATGCCAAATGTTAAGCTATTGATTCACTCTATTTTGCGTCCAAATACTGTCAATTGTAATATTACATGAGTAAACGATGACGAATAAAAACAAAAAGCTTCTACTTTAAGGTTTATGCTATTGGTTGATTTGACTTCAAAATTAAAGAGAAACATTTTGCCAGCAGATTATGTTATAATGGAAAAATGATCTTTAAGGAGACACGTAATGTTAGCTATGTTGTAGTCGGCAGAGAGTGCCACATTTATAGCCATCAACTTTTGCAGCTGAAGTGGCACTGATTTGCAGTGCTAATAAGGCATAAATTATATCATTGAATTAATATATTATATATATTAGCTACTTAATAAGGCAGTGAGTAGAAAAGAATCTCAATATGAAAAGAAGAAAAAAACAGGAATAACAACTACACAAATTAAATGATATCAACCAATTTGAAATTTCTAAATGATAGGAATATATTTTGCTAGAAAAGGGGCCCTGGTAAACGGGCCTTTGTGAAGTTCCCAACTGTGCAGGTCCTTAGGTTCTTTGTTTTCTTCTTAGGTAAAAGACTTTTGAAACTTCTTTCTTCAAACTTTTAAAAAATCGCAAAGAAATGCTTTTTACCAATTTTCAACTCAATTATCTGCAATATTGATGAAATTTTGTGTTGCATTTTCTCTAAGAGCGAGGTTCTCTCTAGACAAGTAAACTATCATTTTTGCTTATGTTCAGTAGTCTGGAACTTTTACCAGAAGCTCAATTTCAGAGGAAGCACTACCTCTTGTCGAATTACAGTAAAATTTTTTATTACAACATATGACAATGACTCTTTATCATTTTATCAATACCTGTTATTTTTGTAATGAATCATTAGGAGTTTCCGCTGACTGGATAACAAGTGTTCAAATTTAGCACCTTTAAAATTACATTTGCTTAGAGTAATATAATATAAACGAAAATAAACCTGCTTCCAAATTTGAGGATCATTGTAGTTAAAAACTCTGATTGCTTCCACTGAGTGAATTTACGACTTATATTCTGCATGAAACTTTGAAATAAATTACCCATCTCAGTTGGAATGTGTTGGCTCAAATTCTTGTTTCTTTGATTCAAGGAAATTATGATTGCATCTCCTACATATTTAATTTGAGATTGAACCAGGATTTGTCATTTGATTGGTTTTAAACAACAGATTAAAGAGGTGTAAAGATTTGTTAAAATGCTAAATTCCGGTGGAATTGAATTCCAAAACTGGTTAGATGAAGCTAAGTTTACTTTCCTTTTAAGCCTCTTCTACAAAAAACGTAATAACGCCACTGGATAAACATACTAAGAGTAAGGTTAGCAGGATTAAAGACAACATAACCATGGATTAATTCTCTTCCATTATCAACTCTTCTTTTATTCTACATAAATCCGTTATCACCTATGTTGTATGGACTCGCCAAAATGCTGCCGCACCCTTGTCGGATCCTCCAAAAATACATTAATTTTGGAGCATCCAACATGCACCCAACGACATTTTTGGAGAGTCTGAGCAACCGAGGTTATCACTGATTCATCCATGAAATTAGGCATAGATGATGGAGATATGTTAATGGATATTAATCTCTAATTGCAAACTCATTCCATTTTTGGAGGATTAACAGAAAACGAATCCTTACTTTTATGAAACAAGAAAAGGAGTCTTAGCCCCACAATAGAGACACACAAAATTTGAGCATATGTTTTTCGTGTGAAACAGTTTTCGCTTACATTGGTTTTGATTATTTGCCAATGTTTTGAGCACTAATTCACTGGAAAAAACAATGGTAGGACAGATTTAGCCTCAATAATTGAAATTTTATCACTTGGCTTGAAGCAGTTATTCTTTTTCTTTATCATCAAAACTTTTGCTCCTGCATAGATTCTAGAACAGTCAGAAAATAACATAAAGCGCTGCAACTTGAACTCTTGACCTTGACACAAGGCAAAAGAAGCAGAAGAAAAGCAAAGAAATTTCTTTTACTGGTACTCAAGTTAAATATTTCCACTATTTTACAACTGCAATTCTGTTTAAAGAGAGACATTTATCGCATGTTTATAGAGATATTAGTTTGACACATAATCCTCTCTACTTTCATCTTTAAGATATCATTTTATTGGCATGCATTGCAGTGTATAATCAAATGTTAGAAGCATTATGCTGTTAAAGATTTTTCACGAGCTACCAGAACTATGTGTATGGGTCAAAATTCGCCTAAAGACATTCAACGTGGAGAGATGTGGCCAAAAGTAGTTTGGCCGAGGTCGACTAGTAACTGATGGGATTCACCGCCGAGCAGCCAGTCATGGCCGTGATCAAGTATCAGAGGGAGCAGTTACGACCAGTTTAGTAATAGGACCTTTAAGAGAATATTCCATTAGATATTTTTTATACTTGTACTTTTAGGGTTAATTGGGGCATGTCCCTATAAATAGAAAGTGAGAGATCAGATGTGGGGGAGATTGTTTTCCTCTATCAAGAACATTCTTGATAAAGCAGACTCTCGATAGATAAATAAAAAGACTATCTTTCTGAAGAGATTCAACTGTTGATTGTTCTGTATTTTTATATCAGATTCGAGAAAGGCTCGGATATTCTTGTATCTATCTGTCATTCATCATAGTCAGAAGAGGAATCATTCACCTCATTCAATATTGGGTGAATCATTCTTCTTATTTACTTTAGTGCCATTTATTGTCATCAAACGCTTGATATTCCTCTTCCATTATTGATATCGATACATTACATACACATCTGAAGTTATTATTATTAGCTAGGCTTAACCTCTCATTAAATACATTTAATTAGTTTAGCCAAAGATAATTATTTATTGGTCAAATAATTTGGCGTCGTCTGTGGGGATTTTCCTAATTAAAATTTTAGTTTCTTCTAGATCCATAACTAGCAAAAAAAAAAAAGGACAAAACCCCCTGCTTTCTTATACGCATAGACCTAACATGACAGGTAACAGAGAAGAAAGAATGAAGGCAGTGGACGACCTCACATAGAGGTCTACATAGACGATATGTTGGTCAAATCCAGACGGAAAGAAGATTACATCGACCACCTGAAAGAGGCCTTCGACATACTCAGGAGATACAGTTCAAAGGCTGACCGGCTGCATCGCCACCCTGCCAAGGTTCATCTCACGATTGTCT